TCCCCAAAGCACTCATCTCACCACCACACTTGAGAGCACTGAGACCAAGCCCTTGAGACTTGATACTTTGGGAACACCAGGACATGGGTACAGGCCAGTAGGACTCCAAGAGGTATCAGAGGGAGCTAAAAAGCAGCCAGAGCTCAGGCCCTGAGCAGGAGTACTTCCTAACCATGCTTTCCTCGTGGGAGCATCAGGCAAGCAAATAGTCTCCTCCACTCCACAGGCAGCGTGTTCAATAGTTTGCAGATAACACACCCTCTCTATCCATCCTTCAAGTGACCAACCACCACAAGCAGCAAATGAAGGTGCCTGCAGACACCTACCACCTCTAGTTGAAGCCATGCTCTGCAACAGTATTAGTGACCTCAGGTTGTTCCCAAGGCTTATAATTTTGAAGTAACATTGCACATACCGACCCTCGTTCACCGTGAAAAAAATCCGCTAATGTTTCCTGTAGCAAGGGAAGGGGAAGTGAGCAGCTAATTTGAATGTTGTTTTACCATCTGGTTGGGATTAAGGGCTGGGCAGGTCAGCTGTTGCCCCAAGATGCCATCCTTGCCTCACCTGCTCTCAATATTACACTTTTTATGCTACCAATCCAACCACATTCAGCTGAACACCTCCTGGCAATGGGCTGCTCAAGTGCCAGAGAATAGCTTGGAGCGATTCATTCATCCCCGGGGGTTGTCCACCAGAGAGATATTCAGTGAGGTTAATCTGGATCAGCTTTTGAAGACACCACTTAAACAGCAGGAGGGTCCCAAGCAGCCTTAACCCAATTAAGGATCCTTCCTTTAGGATGGGAAGCCAGCTAAGCTTGCATTAAAGCCCATCAAGTGTCCTGTTAATCAGGTACACTTTGATATCACAGCTGTGGTCATCCCAGTGGAGGCCACCAAGAGACTGGAGACACCTCATCATTTTTCACCTCCTTTTGTCACTTTGGTTATTTCCGCCGTTACTTTGGGTAGTGAGATGAAAGGCCCAGCAGCTCTGCCCTTATCCACTTTGCTCTCCAGACTTCCCTTCCAGTTTTTCTTTTCACATTAACTGTGTCACACACCAGACTCTCATTGACTAACTGCCGGAGGGAGACCCTTGCTGAGTGTTAATTGCTGTTAATGAGCTGTTGCTGTTTTCCTTCCAAGAGCACCAATTACAACAGCACTCAGCCACTGCAAGAAGATGCATGTCTGCAGCAAATCAAGGCAAATTTTACTCCAGACCCTGGCATTATGCTGCCAGCAACTCCTGGAAAATGCTTTAAATCAGGATGAGACTGGGCAAAGGATGACAGCAGGCAGCTCTTCTGCTATTGCCTGTCCCCTTTTTCTTCATATGGTGGGTCAGGGTGAGTGAGAAGTCCCTGACTTGCTTCCTATGGCTCCTGTTGTGGTGCCTTGCAGGGATGTCTACACTCAGCTGTTTACCTGAGCTCTCACTCAAGTCTCCCTCCAGCCACAAGCACGCAGTCCCACCGGTGGGTTTTACGTGTGGGTGGTGGCCCAGCTGGCTCAGAGCACAGCAGGACTTGTCTTGTCCCACACACTACTAGAGGAGGTGCAGGAAGGACTCGGCAAGACGGCTTGATGGCCTGGTGTTGTGCACCACAACGCTGCCATCGTTTCAGCATCATCCCCTACCCCAGAGCTGGGGGTAGCTCCTACCTTGGCTACAGCAGGGTCCATCCCCACCAGAGCTTTATAATCCTTCCTTCCGAACCTGATTTCCCTCCTCTCCTAAGCATGGATGAGGGAATATGCTAGTACCAAGTGTGGCCTTGGAAGTATACTGAAATGTCCACCAGCTAAGAAGCACTAGAGCTACTGCTGGTCCTAAGGCTTCTCCCTCTGATTTGCCTTTCTCAAATCCGCAGACCAAGGTAGATTTTTAAATGAGGGATGTGCAAGATGGTAAAAGCTTTTGCATGAGTGCTTAAGGTCATGCAAGTTAAAACAAGCTATCGAGACCCTTCACTAAAATGAACTGAACCTGTCTACAATGCTAGTAAGAAATTGTCCAGTGTCTGACTCTGACTTTCCCATTTGGATTATTTTTGGCCATACCAAGAAGCATTCACATCCAAACCACTCTTTGTGAGAGCCTTGAAATGAAATACAGCAGAGCTGATTTACTCCATGAAAAAAAGATCCCAAGATTTTTGTCTTGCCACCTTGATCTGAAAGGAGATTTAGAGAGCACCACCTGCAGCGGGGTTTCCCTCTCCTGCAGCTCCCCCAAAGCCACAGCTCCCTCCTGGGCTCTGGCACGTGGTTCTCCAGCAGGTATGAAAAAGTGCAGGCGTCTCGGCAGAGCAGCAGCCAGCTTGCTCCCTCGCTCTCCTCCAGTCAGATCGAAAGCTGTTGTTCACATTGAAGCACCTGGCTCCTATTGTGCCGCCTTTCTGCAGTTTGTTAAAGTTTATTTCACGTTATTTCTCCCATTTTGGCTTCCCCCCTAAAAATCCTTCTGTATGTTCCTCGGCTGCCCCACTCCTCATAAATGTTCATTTAAGTATAATACCTTACAAGCAAACCCAGAGGTACTCGCCTAGTGGGAACTCTGCCTGAACAAAACCCCTTGGGCTAAGGTCACCTGCTTGTGTATCTTGGGATTCATCCACCAACTTCGGGGGAACAACAGTGACCTGGCCATGCCCTTGGGCGAGTTCAAGTTCGCCTTGGTTTTTTTCAAACCCACGCTACCAATTTCCCAGTGGTTTTCCCGCAAACATATATATTCTTCCCCAGCAGCCAGGGTACCCTCAGCAGGGATGAGCCCAGGGAGGGTTGGTGTCCACCAGCATCTCTGAAGAAGCCAGCCAAAAGCAACTCAGAAGAGCTCCACAGCAGCAGGATTCAACTCATGCCCCCATGTTTCCCAAATGCTGGGCACACCGGATTTCGTTTTTCAAAGCTTAGCCTACAAACAATCAATCTATCTTGTCTTCTGCGCAGGCCAATGAGGTCTGCGGAAAGAAAATTGCAAAAGATCTGTTATTTCCCTAGTGTTCCCATTTTCCCATTCCTTTCCCACAGAAGCAAGGTTTTTGTTTTGTTTTGTTTTTTTTCTTTCCCAACTTTCAGGGGAAAATCCTGACAAATGGAAGCCCTGATTCATACCAGCAAAAATTTGGCCTTTTTTTAATTTAAGGTGGAGCCCTTCTTGTCTGAGGATGAAAACATTTCTCTAACTGCACACAGAGGGCCAGCACCAAGCCCTTGTCCTGCTGAAGCAAAGGCCGAGTAGCATTGGATACTCGTGGCCACCGTGAGCAGAGAGTTGTTGTGCAGGCAGGAGAGCTGTCATGCAGGTAGGAGAGCCACTCATCTCCCCCCTGCTCAGGAAACACTGCCCATGCTCGCTCACAGGGATGGGAAACAAGGGGACAGACAGGCACAGGGTGGCGATGGTGGCTGTCACCAAAGAGACTTCCAGGGGTGGGGAAACATCTTCTGGGGGGATGCCCGGGCAGAGGCAGGGTGTGCGGCTCCGTGGCCAGAGGGATGCATTGGAAGAAAAGCTCCCCATTCTCCTCCGGTGTTTTCTCAGATGACTGAAGGACATGTGAGAAAGGCTCAGGAAGGGAGGAAGGGAAGCGCTGCTCCTCTCCCGTCACCACCGCCAGAGCAGAGACACCGGCTTCCCTCCACCCTCTGTGTCCCACCTGGGAAGCAGCAAAGAGAAAAAGCTGGGTTGCAAAAAAAGGATTTATGGCCACAGCCTACCTGCTCCTACAGCCCAGGGGAAAAAAGTGAAGGAGAAAGAAGATCAAAGGGGTGATGTGTCCCTAAAACCCTCCCTTGCAGCTTTTCTCCCCAGATGCTGCCATCCATGCTGCACCACTCCCGCTCCGGTGGGCACCTCTGCCCATCGTTGGGAGCCAGCAGCAGGGAATGAGCAATTTTCTCTGACACTGAGACAGAAACAGCTTAAAAAAAAAAAAAAGGAAAAGCCATGACCTTTTTTTCCCTTCCCTGTCTCCAGCCAGAAAGCACATTTGGCAGAGCCCTGAGTGCTGGAAGCCATCAGCGGGGCTGCCAGCACTTCAGAGGCTCCGGGGAGGAGGGCAGGAGTGCGCAAGCCACCAACCACGCCAAAGCCACTGCCCCTACTGCCCCGGGGTCCCCCATCACGTGCGGAGGGTCCCCTTCTCCATCCCACCCCAGCTGCTGCCTCCAAAGGGCCCTGGGGAGAGCAAGGGTCCCCTAACGCTGCGCATTGATGCTCCATGGAGCAACGTGGGTTTTGCAGGGCTTTTTGCGCCTGTGGCAGGTGGTAAAGGCACACATCCTCCTCTGGCACCAAGCAGCCACCCCACATCTTTGCCTGAAGAGGGGGGATTTGCTCCCCAACCACCATTTGGCTTTGAGGTGCAGGGTTTGATCAGCCCTGCCCGTGCCCAGCCAAGGGCATCTCCCCTAGGCATCACTTCCCAGGGAGAATTTGGGGAGGCTTATGCACACCAACCCACACCTTATCAAATCCTGCCACTCACACCTAACAACATCGCCTCCTTCTCTCCACCCCAGCACTCAGAAAAAGGCATTTTTAATAAAAATTAAGAAATCAGGCTTTAAGACACATTTACGGAAGGGGGGGAAGGGGCAGCAATCCCCCCGCTGCGTCCCGTGCAGGGGGATCAGGGGAAAGAGCATCCTTTGCACAGGGCCCCTCTGCCCACCCTGGTGATGCCGCAGTCCCACTGGCCTATCACTGGAGACTGGCAGCTCTGCACTGGGAATCCCCCTGGGGGGGAGTTGCCCATCAATCCCTGCTAATTTTGGGGGGGAAAAACACTTAACAGCAGGGCGTTGCAGAGGGGTAGGACTCAGTGCCATCCTGCACCCCCATCCCATGGGAAAACACCTCTCCACTTTCCCACACTGGAAAGTGGCAGGTCAGAAGCAACATTCAGGTGTGGAGTGGGTGATGGGGAGAGGGTGCACCCCATCCCTCGACATGCCACCCCACCCCCCCATAAGCCCTGCACCTACCGCTGGGGTGAGTCGGGGTCGAAGCAGGTCCTGGCCACATCAGTGGCCCGTGGGTCGCAGCAGTCGCCGTCGTCGAAGTCATCCAACATGTTGTTGCACTCCATGTGGCAGACGCCATCGCGGCGCTTCCAGGAGAAGCAGCGGCCGGGCCGGCGGCAGTCCCCACCGTCGTAGCCAGTGAGGGGATGCTCACACTCGGGGTCGCAGCGCTCGTTGCCCACCTTGCTGGGCTCGCAGCCCAGGAGGATGGCACGGCGGCGCAGGGAGGAGTTGCGCACCTCCAGCAAGCTGAGCTGCCAGGAGATGTTGTAAGGCCGGAAAGCTTCACTAAGCGCCCAGTGTTGCCGCCAAACCTGCTCCCGGCTGACCGTCGGCCGCCTGCCGTCATCCTCCGCCAGGTTCACCACCCGGTACCGTACCACCTTCCCACTCCGCAGCGGCCAGTGCTGGTTGTAGTGGGAGACCAGCTCCACGTTATCACAGGCAGTCTGCCCGCAGGTGGGGGGCCCCAGCGGCCGCAGGACAGGGGACGGCAGGGATGGCAGCACCCACTGCCGGGGGAAGGCACCCTCCCGAAAAGGCGCCCAGCGATCCTCTGGAATGGCAAAGCCGGCAGCCAGAGCCAGCCCTGCCACTCCACTGGCCGGCCCCTCTAGGAAGGGACGCTGGAGATGGGGTTGGGACAGGGCAGTCCGCCACAGGGCCAGCCCGGCCAGGTGTCCCCGGAAAGCATGCGTGGTCCCCCAGGCGTCCCCCCCCAGCAGCAGCGTGCGGCAGGAGGCCATGAAGGCGCTGTGCAGGGGTCCCCGCTGCCCACTGGCGCGGCCCACCCGTGCCCCGTCCACGTAGAGAGCCATCCACCGCCCGTCGTAGCTGGCGGCCAGGTGGGTCCATGCCTCAGGGCGGTAGCGGTGGTAGGCGGTCACCTCGGTGGCGGTGGCCGCCTGGTCCGTGCGGAGGGAGAAGAAGAAGCGAGCATCCTTCTTGCCGCCGAGCTGCAGGGCGCGGATGCCCAGCGCCCAGCCCTTATCGCTGGCTGCGTGTGAGCAGTTGTCGAAGATGCCTGCAGCGGGGACGGGGATGGGCATGGAGAGAGAGGAGAGCTGGTGAGGACTGGAGAGCATTGCCGCTCCTCCCTGGAGCACGAGCCAGGTCCTCAGTGGCGGGACAGTTCTTGGCAGGGCTGCAGGGAAGCTCCCACTGCCACTGCCATGGGTAAATGAAGGTAGCCAGCAGCTGGGCAATAGGTGCTGCATCAGGGGGACACCCCAGCCCCCGCCCAAAATCATTTGTATGAGCAGGTAGAGTAGCCGGGAGGGATGGCAAAGCAGGATATGTGGGATGGAGAGGGAAGGAAGAGCATGGATGGGAGGAGAGGCTGAAGAGTAAGGTGTTTCTGAGCTGCTTTCCGTAGGAGCACTCCTGCGGGACGGGATTAGAGGCTAAACTTTTTATCTGCGGGCCAAGGCTTTTAAGAATTAAAGCACAGCAACCCAAAGCAAAACAGCCTCCTCCAGGGACTGCTTTCCCAACAGCTTCCAGGCAGATTTACAGCTCTCCTTTATGCTCCAGTTTTCCTCCCAGTCATGCATCCAGCACAGGCGGGTGAGGGCCGGAGAGGGATGTGCTGCCTCCAGCTGGGCGGGTGCACTCCTCAGCCCCTAAGGTCTCACAAGCATAAATCCATCCCCAGGAATAGCTTTGGGCTCAGCCTCTCCCTGTGCACCCAAGCGTATTGCAAACCTGTGTTTTAGGCTGGGCAAGACTTGGAGCTTTGCTGACTTTCCACGAACCTCAGGCTACGGAGTGCCTGCGGTCAAGAACCAGAGGCTTGCAGGCACTGAATGCTCTTGGGAATCAATGGCCATAAGGCACTTAAATACTGGCAAGGGCAAATGGACCCGCTGCTTGAAATTGATGCTTCTGGGCTCCTAAATCACCACAGCCAGGATGTTCACGCAGGTCATCGGCTGGGGCGAGTGAGCTCAAAGGCACGCTTTGAGCCCCACCAGTGGCATCTTCTGGGCCTCCCCCCCCGCTCTCCTGTTCACCACCCCAACAAATTCCTTCCAGATGCAACAGTGCCCCGATGCTGCCGAAACCTGCTGCCGTGCCCGGAGGCCCTTTTTATATTCCTGCTGTGGCATTTCTTATGCTCCAGCCTGCTTTTTCCTGCTGCATCGGTTCTCCTGCCCCTCACCGTGCCACTTCCATTGCAAGCACTGCCTGCCTATCTCCGTGGTGTCAGGGCATCACGGGCCAAAACAAGGTACTCCTGCCCTGTCCTGCTGCGTCACCTCTCCCTGGGGATGCCCAGCATGACACTCTGGGGAAACTGCACCTGCCGCCAGAATTGCAAAAAGGCCAGCAGAGAGAGGCAGAGGTGTAGAGGGTCAGGAGCTGCAGGAGGAGCAGGACCTCCTGGCTTTCATCCAGGGGATGTGACTGAAGCCAGGTTACCATGACCCCACATCTCCCCTGCCAGCCCTCATAAACATCAAGCCCCACTGCACCCCAGGAAGCAGCACCCCTCCTTCCATCCCTCCCTTTCACCGAGAGTGAGATGGGTGGTGGCCTTTTAGCCATCCCACGGTCATAACTAGCCCAGGCACGGATCCCTGCCACCGCTCACTACAAAGGCAGCCACGCACAAAGCCTCCGTGGGCGGATGGGCTTTGGCCAACTCTTGTTTTCTGGTGAATTGTGAAAGGGAAGCAGAAAGACCAGGGGAAGCTGAGACAGGGAGAAGCCAAAAAGCAGGACGCAGGCAAGGGAGCCTTGTAGGCATTAGAAGGCAAAGCTGGAGAGCACTTTTGGGCTGGGTGCTGAATGAAAGGTGCTTAGACCTGCACGCTTGAAAGCCATCTTCTAGTATTTGGTCCTCACTAGAGTTGAGGAAACAGGGCTTGGTACCTCCTCTCAGGAAAACTCGTGCATTTCACCATGAAATGATTTAGAGTCCCCCAAATTTGATTAAACACTAAGGAAAAACCAGGCAAACAGCATCAGGGGTGGAACAGCCTTCTGACGTGAGTGTGTGCTAGCACCCTCACAAACCCATGCTGGAACCAAGCCAAGCCTGGAAGTGCCTGATGAGTTCAAAACTGGCCGAAAAAAACCTTAAGTGAGCCTAAAACCAGGCCTGGAGACTTCATCCAAGGGAAGCAAGTAATGCCAAGGTCAGCTTTACAACAGGGGCTGGAAAGCCACTACAGCAGCAGCTGGTGCTTCTTAGACATGGCCAGGGATGTCATCTCTGGTGCAGTGGCAGCCACGGAGCGTGCAGGCAGAGCAGCATGTCCCACGGCCAGGAGCCACTGCAGAATGGTGAAGCAGAGCCATCCAGCACCACGTCCTGACATCTCCCGAGGGCCTCCACAAGAAATCACCAAGGGACCAGTTTCAGGACCCTGGAATTTGCCAGGGAACTTGGTCTTTTGTCCTGGGGCAACCCATCAGGAAGGGAAAGAGCTGTTTGCAGAGGAGGTGCAAGGTGATCTCCTCAGCACCTGTAAGTGCAACTCTGCCTCTGATCCATCAGGTGGGAAAGGGGAGCTCTAATCTGGTTTCTGATGTTCATCAGCACTTAGGATGATAACTTTGGGGTTTAAAACAAGAGTTGTTGGCAACAGTGCAAAAAAATTAAGAGAAAGATGTCTGCCAGAAAAGGTGTCTGATGGAGAAAAAGCCTCCAAAGAGATGGAGTGTGCCAGTTTGTAAGGACCACACTCAAAGCAGCATCTCCTCCCACTGGGACCAGGAGCTTTGCAGCACAAGGAATAGTTCAGCCATGCTCTGAGACTCAAATATCAGGTGCAAATTAGCTGCTAAAGCTCTGGAGGGTTTGACACAGGTCAGGAGACCCTAGCTATGCCATGAGAGCAGCTGGCCCGAGAGAGGGTGGCCACCTCTTGGGGCATGCAGCAGTGAGCAGCTCCGGGATCCAAGGAGGACAACTGGGCTTAGACACAGCAGAAGTTTGGGACTGCCTCTGGTGAGGGATCTTCTGACCCAACAAAACTATCCCTGATCTGAGTAAAAAGAAACCTCAGCCTGGCACAAAGGGAAATCCCAGAAGCAGAGCAGGTGGGGGTGGAAGGGAGACAAAAAAGGTGGAAAAAGAAATGGCATCACGTGAAAGGACTCTCATCTGCTGCCCAAAATGAGAAGGATGTGGAAGAGGGACCACGATCCTTCCCTGGCAGTGGCCATGGCAGGGCGCTGGGGTTATACCCCAGCAGAAATCCCCCCATGCAAGAGGGGCTAAGAGGGATGAACAGCCCCATCCAGGGTGGCCCTAAGGCAAAATGTGACATCTACAGGAACAAAGCCCCAAGTCCTGAGCCTTCAATCCAGGCAGCAGTCACACCAGCCAACAGGACAGCTTGCTTTGCCTGGACAGAACTTCTCATCCTGGCCTTATTTCCCAGGCAATGATGCTGGGAGATGCTCAGCTCTGCCCCACTTTCCTCCTGCCTTCCCTCTCGCACACGGACACCTGAGGCATCTCCAGCTCCTCCCCAACTTTGGACCACCTCACAGCTCAGTCCCCTCTCTACCGACAGAGCAGAAGCAGCAGATCAGAGGCAGACTCGGCACCTGCCAAAGGGCTGGCAGCTGCCTGCATCACCTGCTCCCACGAAACGCCAGCAGTGCTGGCCTGTCCCCCTTCACCACCCATACCCGGGCCCTGGTGCAGCTGCAGGGAGATGCTGGGAAGCAGACGGTGACTCAGGCAGCCGGAGGTGCCTGGGGCTGACTCAAACCCTGGAGCACAGAGGCTGGGGGATATTACCCAAGTGAGTGTCAGCGCTCACGGGCGGTGCTTTCAGCACTAACAACCATCCCACCCTCCACAAGAAAATTAAAAAAGAAAGAAAAAAAAAAAAACCAAAACCCCGCTGGCTAGCTGGGAAAAGCAAAACCCAACACCTGCAGGCCAGACCTCCAGATGCAAACAGCTGTGCTGCCGATGTGATGGCTGGGAAGTGTGCTCCATGCATCCCAAGCTGCTGCCTGCCAGCGGGGATGCAGCAAGGTCCCCAGTAAGAAGGCGGACAGGGAGGTGAACGCGAGGTAGTTTCCTTGTACAAGGCTGCTTTTCCCCTCTGCCACCCAGCCTCTAGCCTGTCCCTCCTACCTCTTCCACAGCAAAGATGTGGCTATTGCCCCAACGAGCCAGGGAGATAAATTAATGAAAGGGCCCAGGTGGTGAGCGAAGCGGAGGGAGGTTCAGTGGAGGGATCACAAGCGGAGGGACAGTTAGGATAGAGAGAGGGTTTCCCCAACCAACCAGCTCGGCCAAGGTGGCACAGAAACACAGCAGCCCCCGCACCGTCCCGAGAGGGACCCCAGACATCCCACGGGAGCGATACATCTTGGTGCTGCCACCCGTTCCCAGCCCTGCCCGGCATCCCTGCTCTGCCCTGCCGTGCTTGTACCCTGCCACAAACGCCCGTCCTGCAGGTGCCACCTGCCCCGCTCCGTGCCCGTGCGCCGGTCCCCTCCGTCTCCCCAGGCTCTCCATCACCTGCCTGTTTCTTGACTTGGGGGGCGGAATGAATTCCCGGTGGAAAAAGCACCTGGGGCGGCCCTCTGCCCCGGGGAGCCGCTTTGCAGAGCCCTCGGGGCCGGGACACCGGCGGGGCGGGGGGGAACGGAGGACGGGGC